CCCCAAAACCCCAAAACCCCAAAACCCCAAAACCCCAAAATTTAAACTTAAGCTTGAATTTACTCTTGTGGAATCTTTGTTATCTTCGTTCATTGATTTGGTTGTTGAAATCTTGGAAGAACTTGGCTAGTGTTTTCTCATATGTCTTGATCTTGTCCATCTTATTATGGGTCTCATTCACCTCTAGAGATGAAGATGAAGGCTTACTAGAGTTTACATCTCTGAGTTTTTCTACCATTCTGGGACATCCTTCAATGGCCTCCTTTATCTGCTTGAAATCTTTCTTGTGCTTATGGATCATGTTTAGCAAGATAGTTGGGATAGGCAGGTTATGACTTGCAGCCGATTTATTTCTCTTCAGAAAACTTTTTAATCGACTTGTGTAGGTTTGTATAGTGCTTGTAAACCTTGTTTTGTTGTCTAGAGAGTATAAAGAGAGAGCCTACCGTAGTAACAAGGCATTTCTGATGACATTAGCTGCTCAATTCTCTACCTTATCTAATTTTCCTAGCTTTTTAATCATTCAATAAGCTTTATTTTCTTGCTCAGTCAAGTCAGCTTTTGTTGACAAAATTACAGTAATGAAAGAAGTCAAGAAGTTACCAAAACAGAAAGATAGGACTGCTACGAACCGACCCATATGCGTCTGTGGATAGATATCACCGTATCCCACAGTTGTCATGGTGACAATGGTTAACCAAAGAGCATTGGCAATATAGTTCAGTTCAAATGTTCTCCCATCATCTGGGATAAACCCAATTTCTAGATTCCTGAATGCAAAACTGAAGTAAAATACTGTAGTGATTCCTCAAATGATAACAACAGTTATTGGATTGTACTTTAGCTCTGCTTTAAGACTGAACTGAGTTGTTATCCGAATATTCTGAGAATTAGCAATGCTAGATAGCTGAAAATCGAAATATACCTGCTATTTCTGTTCTTTCTCCAAAGATTATAATGAAAATACACCCTTCCGATAAGGTAAGAGGTCTTGCACATCCCCAAGATGTTAATAATCTGTGCATAAGAGTAAGTGTACGAGCCACTGAGCATCTTTCCACTGAAGGAATAATGTACATTTGGAGGCATTCACACTGAACAAACTGCAAGTTCTAGAAGCATGTAGAAGATCAACTTTGTTTGGAAAATATTCTTCTTCTGATTAATCTCAGGAGAAAGTCGTTCTAACGAAGGATTAGATTTATATAAAATTACTTTTAATCCTGTATCTGATAATAATGCAAATATCGATGAAGATCGTCAACAAGATGATGACTATTCTTGCCCAATAGATCTCAATCCCTGTTCTGACCTTTTCTAAGGAGGGTTATTTGAGGCATACCGATCTCTGATTGTTCGTTCTCGTAAGCTAGGACACATAATAGGGCAAACGCAGCTATTGCACATGCTGTGTCAGTAACTTTATACTTCCTTTCATCTCTTCTTTGTCTTTCTCGAAGTTTAGATAACTCGACTTTTTGTTGGAAGATTTTGGCAAACCTGATTCCCATTGCTGTTGGATATTTCTCTCCTGGATCATCCTCATCAGATTTATTTGGCTATTATTTATGGGCTTGACTTACCTCCATGCTAGCCATTTTTGCCATTCTACTGAAGTTGAGTTCTATTGATCTTTCTGAAGGAAAACTATAAGCGAGTAAATTTTGGAAAATACTCGAACAATGACTTTTTCATTGTCTTATCTCCTTTGTTAGGCTGAAGATTATGAGGAAGAAAGTACCGAGAATTGAGAATCTAGTGCTGAACTGTCATTAAATTTGTTCAGATCCTCATCAACTTCATTGCTTGCTTTTACCAATCGGACTAAATTTGAAACACAAAACAATACTTGTCGGTTGAAATGAAGACTCTTGACTACCTAATTTTCTAAAAGTCTTTCTTCTATTCGGCTTTTTCTTCTTTGGTGACAAAGTTGTGCCTCTTTTTAATGCGAGTTTCTATAATAGGGCTCTAAAATACCTTCTGACTACTTTTATTTCACACTGTTTCTCTCTTGATTCTCCTTCAATAACGGAGATAGTCCATATTCTTTCTTAATACCTGTCTTCACAATGCTTATCTTCCTATCAGGTTCCTCATCTTGAGTTGTGAACTCCTTTCTGTCTTCCATTTTGAATGATTTATATAATATTTAAACCTGCTTGGGGTTTTGGGGTTTTGGGGTTTTGGGGTTTTGGGG